ACTAGCGAGTATTGTATTTTGTTGATGTTATAAAGATTACCATTTCATTTCCAACCTCCGTTTTGGTTATTCCTCATTCAGTAACCTTTTCTAGGTTACACTATATATATATATTAAATATACATATACACATCCACACACACGTGCACACATACACACACAAATATATATATATATATATATATATATATATATATATATATATCGTACCTATGAACACTAATGTGTATGTTCCAATCCTCATAAAAATGTGTTGGACACTATTGCAAGTGTCTAAGTAGTCCACCACTAGAAGTGGTTTACCTACTTCACGACGCTGGCGAGTATTGTATTTTGTTGATGTTATAAAGATTAACATTTCATTTCTAACCTCCGTTTTGGTTATTCGTCATTCAGTAACCCTTTCTAGGTTACAACAATTATCTTACAATCTAAAAATATTTTCTGGTTTTTAATAACCTGCAAAGTGTTGGCAAGCTGTAGAAAACGAGTCAATCGATAAATCAATCCTCATTATCTGATCGAGAAATTTCAACTTTATGTAATGCTGATTCTAAGTACATTTTTCTTTCCATTTTCCTTGAAATCTCCATACTACTCACATGTTCAGTCCATAGTATTCTCAGCATTCTTCTGTAGAACCACATTTTTCATGCCTCAAGTTTCTTTATCTGTGAGGAAATTGTCCAGCATTCACTGCCATATTGGAAATTAGATATTTCATAGCTTTTTTTTTTTTTTAATTCTAACGAAATTTTCCCGATCCTTAATAGTCTGCTTAGCTTTTGGAAGCCATGTTTTGAATGTACAGAGCTAGAAAAAGTATAAAATTGTATTGATGTTTTTATTAATATCTCTCCTTAATTTTTTTTAAGAAAATTCAAACTTCATATGTTAATTCATTCATTTGTATTTGAGGGCTTGCGCATATTAGACGCACCCTCCCTTCAATAGGGCATGGAAAAAAGTGCCAATAACTATTAATTGTAAGAAAATATCATGGATCATGGTCAGCAAAATATACTGCCCAAGATGTGAGCTATGTATCAGAAGCGTTCAAATCAAAGGTTTACAGAAATTTAATTATTTCCTTAGTGTAGTAACAGGCATGATGAAAAACTTGGTACAGGAATCTGACGGTGCATAGGAATAGTGAAAGAAACTAAGCAAAGTGTTGTAACCTAGGGAAGGTTACTGAATAGAATAATCAAACGAAGGTTGGCAAGGGACGATAATACTTAGGACAAGAACAACACATATAAGATTCGCCAACGGCGTGTAGAAGAAGTAGTCAACTGCTGAAAATAAATTCCACAATGAATCTCCAACTGAAGGATATCTACCAAACGACCCACGCGGTCAGATGTGGTACACGACCAAATTTAATGTGGGGTACCCGACCCCATAGGCTCGGCCAAAAATTCCCTGTCGACCGCGTATAAAACGGGGTCTGGTAGCTGTTTCCGGAGACGACACTCTGCCCTTCGACATAGCCTCGTCTGGGGATCCTCTCTACCAGGAGGCGGAAAGTTTGACCAGCACAGCTGGAGACGAATCTCCAACTGCAGGATATCTACGAACCGTCCCACGCGGTCAGATGTGGTACAAGGCCGAATTTAATGTCGGGTATCCGAGTCCGTAGGCTCGGCTAAAAATTCCCCGTAGACCCCGTATAAAATAGAGTCGGGTTAGCTGTTTCCCTAGACAAGACTCTGCCCTTCGATATAGCCTCGTCTGCGGATACTCTCTGCCCGGAGGCAGAGACTTTGACCAGCACAGATGGAGACGAATATCCAAATGCAGACCAACATACAGTATTTACTACTGTATACCCATTATCGTCCGTAGGTATACTACAACACAAAAATATTAAGACAGGAAAATTTCACTAGAAACAAGTAAAACGATGCTGAACTGCTATGTAATATCTAATCTCTTCTATGGCAGTAAATGTTCCACCGACAAATACTCTGAATATCATGTCCGGAACATATGAGTAATTATGAATTTTAAAAGTAAATAGAATCTACAAGGAAACTTATACTTACAATATGTTCTTTTTAATTTTTCTGTCTGTAAAAAAGGCATTTGGGATTTATGAGACATATAATGAAGAAAGAGAATCCTGAGTATCTAATACTAAAGTGTCCTTTTTGTTTTCATTTTGCTTTGTGGTTACTCATTCCCTATACATACTCCTCTATCCCGACACTTATTCTCCACTTCTTCCTCTTCCACTAGCTCCGCTAGCTTTGTTGAGTAATACCAACCTTATTGGTCACCTGGCTTTCTTTTCCCTCTTCGGTTGGTGCCGGTCTATCGTCTCGATAGGGTTGATTCGGATTTGTTACGATATTGGTATTGACGGCGAAGCTTTAGTGTGGGACTGAATATGTATGTTGTGTATCACAGAAAAGATTGCGTTATTCCTGTCTGTGACCGTGGTAACTTTTTGTCATTTTTGGTCCAAGGACAATGTTGGTAAGCAGTGTTGGAATAAGAACTCCTTTAAGAAAATACACAAGACTGTTGATAACTCAGGTTTATTGAACAACAGGTTTATTGAATATAAATGAAAACTGGCGAACATAATGCCTCTATCATTTATTGAAGAATTACTTTGCCGGATGGTGATTTGAGAAATCTAGTAGCAAACTCTAAACCAATGACCAGCGAGTCTACTTTCACTCAATTCTTTTGGCATATGTCTGTATGTGTGTTCAATCCAGCTATGAGAATTGCGGGCGTGTCGTTTAGCGACAGCTGTCATGATGAAACCTCGGGCAAATCAGAGCAAAATTTCACATGGGCCGGCCTCTCCTGTTTGTCACTGGGCCTGGTGATCCCTCGTTTATATAGATGTCTCCCCAACCAAAATTTGTCATTGTTATCTAATTTCTCCACCCTGACCTGATTAAGACATCTTAGGAGGTCTGCAAATAAACACATGCCACAATTTTCTGTCCTATCTTTCTGTAAAGATGGTGGTGTTTTGAGGCAAGCAGCATCAACCCCAAGATCAAGAATTAGACAAACTCCAGATGCCTTCTTTGTTTAATATAATTTGGATCATTCTTTTCTGTAGGTATATTTATGTTTTGGATTGATAGTATAATGTAAACAAAACCTCGATTTTGAGATCTTAGTTATGAAACAGATGCTTTTCCTTGTTTAAAAAAATGGGTCACACTTTTCTGTAAGAATATACACGTTTTAGACAGATAGTATGAATGTAACCAAATCCTCGAATTTAATTTCTCAAGACCAAAAGATTCGGATAACGCACTAATCACGTCTTCTTCTTATCGGCAGAAAATGAATAGGGTGGGAAACCTTGGTTTTGCTCAGTTTGAAACCGCTCTGAAATTCATTTCATTTTTTAAAACATAATTCTCAATCCGTTTCTTTTTTCATTTTTTTCTCAACTATTCAATCTATTTTTTTGAGAATTTTAATAATTATTATCGAATTAGTAGTCCCTCCAAATCACCATCCTGCAATTTCATGCAGTTAAACGTTTAAACAGGGTCAAAACCCTGTTATACTTTAAAATTCCTGTTTGCGTACGCCTTCCATCCATGGTATGTCGAAAAACATGTGCCATTCTCTCTAAAAGTTAAAAACGCCACTATCTTTATGTGCGGTGTCATAGTGAATATAGGCATTGGTTAAACATGTACTGTCGTTACCTAGTGCTCCAGAGTTCAATCTCTGAATCAGACAGTGAAAAAATATACATTAGTTTATCAGGAACGAACAAGACAAAATATAACAGGAACAAAAAAGCAAAATATTAAACGGATATCCGATATCAGATAAGTGCCTGAAGATGGCCTGAAGGTACTGACGGAAACGTTGTACCTATGATAGCATATATGATAATCAAGATGAATAAATTAAAGTATATGAAATTGTTAGTTTTAAGTGAAAGTTCTTCATCTAATAAATTCAGAACATTTTTAGAATAACGAACTCTGTAGTTAATAGAATGATCCCACTACATTTGTCTCTCATTAATCACTTTGAGCGATTTGTACTTTGGTCACCACATCCGTCACCCTTTTTTTTTTGTTAAATATTATTGTTGAATATATTACAACAGAAATTAACATAATCATCACTGTATTGCAACGCGAGCTCTTGTGAAATAAAATATTTTTTGGACCGAACTTAGGTACAAGGTTATATTTCTAGAGCACTTGATGGAGATAATTTGAATGGATTGCGATAAAACTGTCATCCATTTTTGTTATGAGTTCGGCAACGAGATTAAAAGAAATTGGAGACGTCAGTCCCCTTCTACTTCAATAGAGTTGAAGGTACCTACAGATCTCGCTATTGCTTTATGCAGTCAATCGGACCATTTAGATAACTAAACCGATGTCCATTCCCTTTAGCTTTACGTACCACACCCGTAAGCCTAACCGACGTTACTTGGTTCATCTAAGAGGCAATCGTTATTAATTCCTCCCTGGGGACGATAATTATCAAAAAACGCAGTCATTTGTGCGCAGGCGTATAACGCTAAGCAATTTAAACGCGGGCTTATGAACAATGCGAGCAACAGGAGCGAGAAGTTTAGTGTGAGCAATCGGCGTAGCTGAGTGTCGTCTGCTCTGTGCCAATAAATTCTGGCTTCCATTGGTTTTATCTCTTGAATACCGCGTCTCTTTCATGTCTTCTCAAGCGTTCTCTTGCGATCTCTTTCTCTTTCTTTCTTTCTTTCGTTATTTTAATTTTCTTTCTTTTTCTTTTTCTCTATTCCATTCTTTCCTTTTCCATATCTATATCTCTTCTTTCTTTTTATTTTCTTTCTTTCTTTCTATTGTCATTCCTTTTTCTATTCAGTTAGTTTTCTTTCTTTCTTTCTTTCTTTCTTTCTTTCTTTTATATTGTTTTGATTTCTTCTTTTATTTCCTTTCTTTATTTCCTTAATTATCTTTCTTTTTTATTCCCTTGACATTCTTTCTTTCTTTTAACTTAATATTCTTTATTTGTTTATGTATATTTTTTGTTTCTTTCTTTTTTATTTTCTTAATTTTCTTTCTTTCTTTTCTTTCTTTCTTTTCATTCTTTTTTATTTTTTGATTTATTTGCTTTCTTTCTTTCTTTCTCTGGTTATATTTCTTTTTTATTTCCTTGACTTACTGTCTTTCTTTCTTTCTTTCTTTCTTTCTTTTATTTATTTATTTTCTTTCTTTTTCTTTCTTTCTTTCTTTCTTTCTTTTATTTATTTATTTTCTTTCTTTTTCTTTCTTTCCTTCCAGTATTTGTTATTTTCTTTCGTTCTTTCTTTCTTTCTTTCTTTCTTTCTTTCTTTCTTTTATTTATTTATTTTCTTTCTTTCTTTTTCTTTCTTTCTTTCTTTATTTCTTTTATTTATTTATTTTCTTTCTTTTTCTTTCTTTCCTTCCAGTATTTGTTATTTTCTTTCTTTCTTTCTTTCTTTCTTTCTTTCTTTCTTTCTTTCTTTGTCGGTCTGTCTTTTCCCTGTCGACATCATTCTATTCTTTTAAAGCCATTAAACATTTATATCACAGTCCATCATGTCCAGGAACACTACGCTGCGCGGACACCACATTATTTTACGTTTCGTTAAAGTCAGCCTTGTTTGTTTACAGAACAGGAACTACCTGACTCGTGCAATGATGCGATCAATACTATTGTCATTCTAATGTTCTTGTAGTTTTTACATCAATTCCCGACGGGAAACGTTCAGTATAACATCTACCTGTTTGGCCTGTGGATCAACAAACCATCTGCAAAAGTTTCCTCTACCTAATATGTTCAGAACCTCCCCCACCAAAAAAACAAAAAAACAAAACAAACAGTCACCTCATACTACAAATGGTATGTTTTGAACAATAAAAATTATTAAAAAATTAAAATTTTCAGACACACTGGGCTGTATATTAATATTTTTTTTGTTTTATTATTTCAGTCCGCGAGTTGTTTCAACCAACATGGCCATCGTCAAGACGGAAAAATCCCAGTTTGTTAGTAGCAGTAAACTACAAGAGTGAATGAATGTCTGTGAAGAAAGTGGACTTTAGTTTTCATTTGTTTTTTATCATTAATTTTGGTCAATCCTTATATTGATTAAACGGTGTCTTTTAAGTTATTTTTATAATAGAGGCTTGGAAATTCCTGAGTCTCAGAATCCCCACCCCCACTCGTCATTTTGACAGTTTTATTGGTTGCTGGGAATGGGATGTGTGTGTTAAGCGTAAGTTATCTTTTAGTTTTTGGGAGTGTGTGCATGTGTATATATTTGTGTGAGTGTGTCTATATGTGTGAAACCTCAACACCTCTGCAAGCATGTCTGTGTGAGAAGTGTGGGTGGGGCACGGTTTATGGGATTATATATTAATTCTATCTGTGGTGTTTAATTTTTGGTTAAATCCGTCTGAGCTGCACAACCTCCCCGGCCTTGTTGGTGATGAATTATTTCCCATCCTACAGCCCCTTTCCCAGAGACGAAACATCGCAAGTTTTTCGCTGTTCTATCGCTATATCCGTGAGAAATGTTCAGAGCTACATTCCTTTGTTCCACGAGTTCCAACTTTTACAACTGAGACCCTCTATTCCCTTCATATTCCATAGGTTAGGAGGAAGTTCTACAGAGTCAGCTTCATTCCCAGAACTTTTTTTGTGGAACAGACTCCCGAGAGGATGCTTCCCCAATCACTACAATCTTAATCTCTTCAACCGTTATCAGCATTCAACAACCTGAATAACCCTCTATCTTGAGTGACTCTTGTGACTTGTGTTGGATGAACAATAGTGTAAAAAATTGCTACTTTTCAGCATTATATCCATCATCGTTATCATCATCATCGGTCTCATGACCGCGTATGGTCGTAGGGTCGTTGCGTACCTGAACACTTGACCAGTTCCCTTAATATGTTACGGCTGCGTGCCAATGTCTTACTCTCTGTGAATGAACTTTTAGTCCATTCAGTGACGTTGTCAGCACATTTATTGTTATTTTTACTACTAGATTAATCCGGTATGGCACAAGGCCAAAGGTAATGAGGATTTGGCGTTACGCCACCTTCCTATCTCATTGGGGATGAAAGAAAAGGTACCCTCTTTTCTAGGGCTCAGACACCAACCTATGACATCAGTGGGAGATAAATAACTATTTCAAGTATGTCTTTTCTTGATCAGATATTAATACTTGAAAAAAGAAGAAAGGCTACTGGCCTTGAAAATCAGCATTCGAAGTATTGATTTTTACCTCGGATCGAACGCCGATCATTGGCAAAAAAAATCTGCCAAATGCTATCAAGGACACATGGCTCAGCGTTGGTTGGATAAAAGTGTTGGTTGGATCCAGTGACTTAACCCAAAGAGTTGTGAGTTCAATACCTGGCTACAGCAGTGGTGAACAAAATCTTGGAGAGACATCCGGAAGAGGCATAGCGCGTGGAACTAGAACAATCTACCCCTGTGGAGGAAATAAAGCGTTCAGTTCGAAATTCCAGTCATCTGAAGAAGGCCGGAGCGTGCAACGACCAAAACGTCGTCGTGAATATGACAATGAAAATGAGTTCGAACAATGTAATTAGTATCAGGTAGGAAAGGACATTCATCGTAGGACACCCCGAAAGGATCGAAAAATATTGTTCGTTCTTATCGATATATCGCTCTTCAGTAAGCGTACGGCTTGTTATGAGTTTCGAAGTTTGTCTAATCTTCTCTTTTATGTTTCTTGTCCTTTGAGGACGTTGGCGGTCAAGACTCTCCACATTTTCCTATCTTTTGTAACGTTAAACAATGTATTGTCACTTTACTATCCCGTCCTGCCATCCATTTACATGTGCTCCTTAGGTAGATTACTCGATATTACCCTCTGTCTCTCTTGTCTCCCGTCCTGGGTATGACGATAAACTACACCCGCGTCCTGGGTAAGACGATAAACTACGTCCAGCAGCAAGGCCTCTGATCAGGAGATTTTGAGGAGCGTTGAACCGCCTTTTAATTGCTAGTGTTCCCAGGTCTACCCTGACCCGGGGTGGTTGCACCTGTTAGGGTCCCAGCTATGGCCAAATAGTTAACATCCAAACTTGTGTAAAAATAGGTTTTAATACCAGAAATACTTTGCAGTAAAAAAAAATTATCACCAGCAACAATTTTTGAAGGAAAAGTTATCATCAGCAATACAAGCAACTATACATTCTTTTAAAAAAAATATGACCAGCTCTAGATTTCTTCAAGGAAAAATATTCCCAGAAATAGAATTTTGAATTTTATTACCAACAATAAAAAATTGTGTCGGCATTAAATAACTGTTGTGGATTCCGAGATGAAATCCGGTCTCAAATGAATGACAAACGCAGGAATGAAATATAGCAAATAAATGTATTGACGTAATAATACAATTGGTAATACGGTTAGTAGATCCAGAAATGCGGTTAGTAGCAATAATAATATATATATACAGTCTGGGAAATTCAGTATCAAAGTAGGACTTCCTTCTGAGTCTACGTGCTCGCAACTGTGACTCCTACAAAGCGGTTACCTCACACTCTCACTCTTTCTATTACTCTACCTCTCGAGTATTCACCGGCAGCAGTACAAATACACACTGGGCGAGTCCACTTGTATAAAAAAGGGGTGGATCCCTTAACAATAACCCATTGAGGTTGATATGCTGTAAAACAAAACAAAGCAAACTCTCTTGTCTCCGGTTATGTGAGTGTCAGATTCTCCATGCCCTCTTTCTTCAGAATTTTCAACAATCTCTTTGTAAATATGTGTCCATTTTTTTTTCTCTTGTTCTGAAATCTTCCTCGTTTCTCACATGTTCTGTACATGGCATTCTCTGCATCTTTCTGTAGAAGCACATTTCTGTCTATTTAAGTCTTAACTTCTAGACGTGGACGTTCATAAATCTACACAATTTCTTATCCTTTGTAGCTCTAAATAATTTTTTCTCTGTCCTTCTTGCTTTCATAATGGCCAGTGACTTTAAAATTCTTTCGGTTAATAGAGAATAAATAAACATTTAAAAAAAAAAAAAAACTTTCCCCCGTCGCTATTGAAACAAAACCTCTCGGTCACGTGTTAAATGTTTGAGATCTCTTTTAGCTGATAGAATATTAAAATCAGGAAATTAAAAAAAAAAAAAAGAAACCCGATTCGCTACGATTGAATCAATTATTGATCACTTCTTTCAGAACACCTGGATCACTTTAAAAACAGATTAAGCTAATCAACTATCTCTTTCCTTACCAAACACTTCGAAACGTTGCCACGTCATCGTACCTTCCTACGAAGGTATAATCATTTTACGTGGTAGCATTGTTGTATCCGGCACTGATTGCTTAATCAGAAGGAATGTGTTAATAATTGAAAGTAATTTTTTTTATTGTCGGTGAACCCTGATCTGTAATAATCTACTTGTCTTATTAGGAGCTAGCAGAAAAGTTTCGCTTGGGGAAAGCCACTTTACGAACTCGAACGACAGGAGATCGCGGTAATAAAAATGACGAATAAATTAAAAAGAAATGTATTTAACTAACTGTAGCAGTTTAGTTCATCAGAGCTGTTTCGGTTTGAAGGCGCACTCATCGTCAGTATGGCTGCTTGTTTCCGAGTATGACCATCTTTTAAACCTGTTCATGTTTCTTCAACAGTCACAAAGCCAACCTATAGTTTAAATAACAGCTATACTGATGGGTCCTTAATTACAGTCCAGCTATGTCCCCCACTAAGGCCACACACGTTTTTGTATTCATCTGGTTTGGTTTGTTTTACGGCATATCAACTTCAATGGGTTATTTAATGCCGACAAGATTTTTATTGCTGGTAATATTTTTTCCAAAGATATATTGCTGGTAATACCCTTTTTTCTCAAAAATGCATTGCTGATAATACATTTTTCCTTAAAAAATGTATTGCTGGTAATAACTTTTCCTTTAAAAAAATTTATTGCTAGTATTAAAACCCATTTTTACACTTTTATAGTGTTTTAACCCCACTTTTAACTATTTAATTTTTTATTCGTTTTATTTAACTATTTATAGTTAACTATTTGCCCATAACTGGGACCCTAACGAGTACTACCACCCCGGGTCAGGGTGAACCTGGAAGCACAAACAATTAAGAGGTTTGTTCCATGCTTCTCAAAATTTCCTGATCAGAGTCCTTGCTGCCGGATGTAGTTTATCGTCTTACCCAGGACGCTGTATTCATTTGTCCTTCTCCTATAGTGGATGCTAACAATGGCTAGAGAGTCTAGTCCATCCTGCTATTTAATGCATCGCTGGAGGGAAGAAGAGATGGATTTATAAATTTACCAATGACATTTGTGTGAAAGGGAAAGTAACAATCTCAAACGAAATTCGAACCCGGCACGTCAGTTTCTCCTTTCCGGTCTCTAACCATTGGACAGCCTGCACGTCCATGTTCTGTTATAAAATAAAAATACAGTCTTAAAAAAACTGTCACTGTTTCAATATGCATCCTATGACCGGCCAAACAACAGGACCCTGTGAGCTCAAAATTATGA